CAGCTATGCTGACTGGAGAATTCTGGGAGTTGAAGTCCACAAGTCTTAAAGTTGCCAAGTTTGGAGACCTCTGCTGCAGGAGAACAGTCATGCCTGTACCTGCATAAAACCAGACGCCAGAAGGATGAACATGGTTCTAGGTACCCCACCCCACTCTGGCTCTTTAGTTCCACATCACCTTGAGGCACAACCTCTCCCATCTCCCCATCAACAACTATTAAAGGAGGAGGCTAACTCACATCATCCCCCACTCTTAATCCTCACTTGAGGCCCAGAAAAATATAATGATATATTTTGATATAAACATTATCAATATCTGCTGAAAAATCAAGGAGCAGAAGGATGGATGCACCATCACTCCCATGCTGGATCTGCCAAAGATCATTGACAGATACAATAAGTTTTAAAATGTTTATTTCATAGAAGCAAGAAAAATATTCTCGTCACCCATATAGAGCTCCTACAGCAAATAAAAATAAATACTGGCATATTTAAAAGATTGAGTTATTCTTTTTCGGCTCTCAATTTTGCAAAATGTATAGGAACCATATAGAGGACATTTTCTTAAATTTCTATATAAGTCTCAAGCGGGCAGGCGCATCCTTCTCCCTATAGATCTATAGGCATGGAAACAAGAGTTCTCTCTCTTGTCTTCAGTATCAGACAGCAGCCAGGCAATCAAAAAGACTGGCATCCTTGCATATTTCACCATAATGACCAACTTGCAAGAGAGCAATCAATGGGCCAGCAACTCCTCCTCACCCTTTATTAGAAAATTTACTTGTCACACATCCTATTTTCCCACAAGGTTATCTCAATGCTGAACTTTAAAATACATTTGGGAGGAGAGTCTGTCTTTTTTTAAATGCTCCCAGTTTGGGAAAGGAATCCATTTATACAATTGTAATATTCTCAAACAAGGAATATCTGTGTTGGTAATAATATAATTCCAACAAGGTTCCTGGGTGGGGGTCTGTGCAAAAAGCAGTAAACAAAAATAAACTAGTAAACATTATTTTAAAAGTGGACTCTTACTTATATGCATGAATCTTAGAAACCATCTCAACCTGATGGGATTAGCCTGCCCCACCTGTGCTGGTAGAAGAGTCATGCTGTGAACCCTGTCAATCAAGGAATTCCAGCTGGCATGGGGGGGGGGGGTTTGCAGGAGAGCCTGCTCTGCCATGGTGTGGGCTCTCTGGAACATCCTGTTCCCTTCCCCCCCAGTTCAGATTCACATCCTTGAACACCTGGCTCTGCCAACTAGCCCAGGGCCACAATAGGGAAGTGAAACCCGGGGGATGGTTAATGGATTAGATAGATCCCCACCTATTCCCCTTATGCATTTTGCAACTGAATTTTAACTAAATTTGAAATGCATGGTCTTTGTTTCTTGTTCCAATGTTTTATATGGTATTTTTACTGAATAAACTGTAAACCACCTAGAATTGCCTTGGTGAGATGGGTGACATAGTAATACGTAGTAGTACTTTATAGCCAATTTGCATAAACATATAATATATATTAAATAAACTAGGTTCATGCAAATTGACTATAAAGTACTACTACGTATTACTTCCCAATTTATTTAGGAAATCTTAATTTCTCATAGCTCTATAACGTACAGTATTTAAGAAGCATTGGCTCTTATAGAGCTACCAAAATATGATTTTTCTCCCTGTTCAGAAGGGGAAAGCTCTCAGAATAGAGACCTCTTTACCTAACAACAAAACAACATCTGATTGCTAAACATAAGATCAGAGCTAGTATTTCTCCCAAGGGCACTGCCATGGGATTGATGAAATAGTAGCTAGATTTACATATACCGTGTTTCTCATATAATAAGGCTGGGTCTTATTTTTTTTTGAGCCCCGAAAAAATGGCTAGGCCGTCTTTTCGGGGGTGGCTTAATTCCCGCCCCCCTTGCATCTTCGGGCGGGCGGGCGGCGACGGCTTGGATGTTGACCTCGGCGTTGGTGGGGCATTTCATATCGGGGTCAACGGAAGCATCACCATATCCGGGTGTGCAACAAAAGTACTTCCTAACGGCAAGCCGCCCCCCACCATTCCCCCCCATTTCGCATGTTTTAATATAGGCCTTAATTTGGGGGGAGGGGCTTAATTTCATTTCTTGCCTATAAAACATGCTGGGACTTCCTATTGGGGGAGGCCGTATTGTTGGAGAAACAGGGTAGTTAAGTTGGTTATTAAACACACCCATTTTCTTGATCTGCATAAACCATAAATGAGCAGACTGCATTCAAAACTAATCAGGCTTAGTATAGTTTGCACACATATTACAATTACTAAGTCTTGTCTCTCATACTTATGTCATTATCAGCAAGAAAACTGGAAAATAAAGGATTTATCAAACTGAATACATCCAGTTGTAATAATGTACAGATTCCATCTGCCCAGAATAATTGGTAGTGTTATTCTTTCTTATGGGTTTCTGGTTGGTAGGAGCAAAGTTTCAGCAGTGATGAAATTCTCCTTTTTAGAACATTTACTTCTCAACTTCCCCTTGCAATTATCATTTGATGCCACTAGCACTCAGCATTCAAAGACCCTTAAAGAGAGAGTTCATATCTCATGCCTCAGTATATTCTCAAAGAAACAGTATAGAAACCTAATTCACATACCATGCTAAATCATATTTTTATTTATTTCCCTGTGGAAGCTTGTAAACAATAGAACATACAGCTTAGCATAACTGTGAATTCAGCCCATGTATGTTCACACATCACATTATATGACAATTTGTTCACTAAGCCAGAATTGGCTAGGTTTCTTCATTGCACTAAACCATAAAATGTTATTTTATTAACAAGAAAAGTTGGTTTATGTGAAATGCAAAAAGCCAGGTGCAATGTTCAAATCCAGCCAATAAATATCTTCCTGATTTATAGGTGTGCGTTTATGAAGATATACATCTAGAAATCTGTGTGCATTAGTATGGATTATTTTAACTATTAACCTTATTCAGCAGTGACAAACACTAGCTGTTAAAGACTTCACAGCACAAATTTGTTTTGTAGACAAGACCACAGTTCATAAGATATTGCAACATTAACATAATTGGGTAGGAAAAAATGTACCATACAGGAGAAAGAATATAAAAAACAATAAAAAATACTTTAAAGCATTTGGTATGTACATGTTGGAATCAATCAACTGACAATCCAATTAACCCAGATCGGACCTACAAAATGTCTGCTGTACCAATCTTGCCAAAATTCAAAAATGTCCAATTTATAACAGAACAGCCTAACAAGGCAACTTTCTAACATGGGTCAGTTCTTAAACTTTTTGCTGTAGCTAAAGAATCAAGGGGAGGCTAGAGCTTCAAGAAAATGGGAGAAAGCAAATGATAATCTCAGAAGAAATCTGCCCCAATTTAACTGCCCCAGGTTGTTGCAGAAGCCCCCGGAGCACTGTTCTTAAAGTGTTTAACACAATTACAGGTAGACCTTGGCTTACCACCACTATTGACCTCAAAATTTCTGTTGCGAAGCATGACAGTTTAGTGAGTTTTGCTCCATTTTTACCACCTTTCTTTCCACAGTTGTTAAGCAAATCACTGCAGTTGTTAAGTTAATAAAACAGGCTTCCCCATTGCTTGTCAGAAGGCTGCAAATAAGACTTTTTTTTCAATGCTGTTATAACTTTGAAGTGGTTGTAATTCGAGGACTACCTGCATTCCTTTTCCTTTTCAATAATGTTGTTAAACCATTCAAGATTTTGTTTTACACAAGTGTCACAACAGCAGCTGCCCCCAACTGGAGCCTCTACATCAAAAGCAGCAATTAAAACTACCCACCTTCCTCACAGAGGCTCCATTACCTGCAGGATATACTCTAGAGCAGAGGCCTCCAACCATTTGGGCACAGGTTCCCTGGAGAGATGTTTCCCTCACCCACCCCCGGAATGGAGGGGGTGTGGTTTTGCATGCTGCCTGCATCCCCACAGATGGGGCTTTGCTTGTTTGCACAGCCAGGTTGCTGGCATGCTAGGGACCAATGCAAGTCCACAGACAGGAGGTTGGGGACCCCTGGTGTAAATACCCCAGGTCTTATATGGCTGTTTTTTAAGTAAGCTTTGCTTACGAATGTTTACACTGCTTGCTTCCCAAGCTTCTTGGGAAGAGGGGAGGATTCCTTAGAATAATGTTCAGAATATAAGTAATTCTGATTATAATGCCAGGATATCCTGTCAGAGCTGAAGAAGCTTCTTGGGTGAGAAGTGAAACGTCTTCAAGGAAAAAAACAAGAAAGTCCAGTTGCCTCCTGAAAAAAAAAGCACCTTTGGGATAAATCTAAGTGCTATTGCTCTTCCTTCCTTTCTTCTCCATTACTTCTTTCCTCCCTCCCTCCGCCTTCCATCCTTCCCAGGTGGGTAAAAATAAGGACCCAGATTGTTGGGGGCAATAAACTGACTCTATAAACCAAGGGTCTTCAAACTTGGCAAGTTTAAGACTTGTGGACTTCAACTCCCAGAATTCCTGAGCTAACATGGCTGGAGGAGAAATTCTGGGAGTTGGAGTCCACTTAAAACGGTCCAGTTTGAAGAGTCCTGCTATGTAAAGCACTACGAAGCGGTATATAGCCTAAGCGCTGTTGCTATTGCTTCTCCTCTCCTGCTGTTGGGGATGATGGGAGCCGTAGTCCAGGGCGCCCGAAGAGTGCTGGGGCGAACCCCAGGCCAGTCGGCGCCGGGCAGCGGCCCTTCGTGCGACGCCAGGCACCCCTCCCATCCCCTCAGCGGCACCCCGCATCTCCCAAGGGGGAGGCGCGGCAGGAATGCCTCCCACCCCCGAGTGCCAAGGAATGGGGAGGGATGAGAGGGAGCTCTGCCAGCAGGCAGGTCGCCCGGGGAAAGGCGACCGCGCGACCCCGAAAACGGCCCCGGCTACCTGAGAGTCCCGGAATTCCACCACCACATTCTCGCTACTCCAGCGCGCCGCCATCTTGGCTGCCCTGGAGGCGGCTGGGCGACGGCGGCCAGGAAGTCGTCGCTCTCGGAGCGCAGGGCCTGCCGGGAGACGTAGTCCTCGGCGCTCAAAGGAACCGGAGCCACGTAAGAGCCTGGCCTAAGTTTCTTCCATCAGGGTTGGACTACAACTCCCAGACTCTCCCCTCGCCTGGAGTCGTGGTCCAACGTCGGTTTGTTTTGATCTTTCTTTAAGGCAGCGTGCCTCCCACTTGCGCCCCCACCCCCTCTTTTCTTTTTTCTTTCCTTGCATACCTTTGTCATTGGATTTGCACAACAGGCTAAGGCACACACGCACACGCACAATTCCCTCTCTTATGAGCTCAGACACTGTATTTTTGCCCCAGTTATGCAACTGTGTATGAACATAATGTCTGAAGGAGGTGGCGGTTAGAGGACTGCAAAGTGTCTGTTTTCTTAATCTGTATCACTGTTTATTTTATTTTATTTATTTATTTGATTTGCCAATTGTTTACAAGATAATAAGTATAAGTGTATACATAGTTGTGAATACATGAAATGGGTACATATAAGAAAAATAAAAGAATAAGAGAAACAATAGGACAGGGACGGTAGGCACGTTGGTGCGCTTATGCACGCCCCGTATACATATACGTTTAGTATATGTATATTTACTAATAGGTATTTACATTATAGAGACTGGACAGGGGGTTAATGTCATTGCCTAGAGGATTATGGGTTGCCCTCTCCCCTCTTTGAAAGAGCTTTATAGCACCCGCTGCCTTAAGAAAGTTCAAGACACCCTCAAAGATCCATCTCATCTTGGGCACCCCTTTTTTTGAACTATTACCATCTGGCAGACGGTACAGGACAATAAAAACAAGGACAAATTGGCTGAAAAACAGCTTCTATCCCAGGGCAGTAATTTTTTTTTGAATTCTGCTGTATAGTGCAGTGTTGGTGTGGTGTCGGGGGTTTCTGGTTCAATGTGTGAAGGGTGAAGGATGTGTGCTTCTGTTTATTTTAATGGTCATGGTCATGATGTGCACTGGAGATGGTGTTTGATTTCGTTGTACGAGGTGCAATGACAATAAAGTAAACTAAAATATAGAGCAGGGGTTGGTATTGGTATAGAGCAGCTGGCTGGAGAATTCTGGGAGTTGGAAGTCCACAAGTCTTAAAGTTGCCAAGTTTGGAGACCTCTGGTATAGGATCTCCTGCTTGAACAGGGGTTGGACTAGAAGACCTCTAGGGTCTTTTCCAACTCTTAGTATTCTATGTTCTATGTTTTCACCCGTTCCCCACCTCAAAACACCAGGAACCATGTCATCCATTTTCTGCCGTTATAGCCAGAGGGTTTTAAGACCAAGGATTCTGAGGCTGTTCTTTATCCCACTTGTGTAATTGCCAATGCTGTCCCATGGACCTACAACTCCTCACCTGCTTTGCCTTTTTTTGAACTATTACCATCTGGCAGACGGTACAGAATAATAAAAACAAGGACAAATAGTTGAAAAACAGCTTCCACCCCAGGGCAGGAGCTCTGTTGAATTCTGCTGTATAGTGCAGTGTCGGGGATTTTCAGTTCAATGTGTGGAGGGTGAAGGATATGTGTTTGTGTTTATTTTCATGGTCATGATGTGCACTGAAGATGTTTGATTTTGTTGTACAAGGTGCAATGACAATAAAGTAAACTAAAACTATGGAACAATCTCTCCCCTCCATCCAAGGGCCCTGACCCCAAGATGTTGCTGTTCTCCCAGGCACTGAGCCAGGATGTTAGTTAAGCCCAGTAGGGGTGTACATGTGCTATGAGTTTGTTATGGTGTCTTGGCTGTCGCAATATAGTTATTTTGACTGTTTTGCATTTTGTAACAGAGATTTTAGTATGTTTTTTCTCCTTTTTTTTATCAATCACTGTATAAAAGATGAGGAGCAATTCTGTAAACAGACTCCAAATCAATCCATCAAGCAATCCAAAATAGACATTGGAGCCAGAAAGTCACCTGGATCTCCTTTGACTTATAGAAGTGGATCTGAATTAAGCTATATCAACTGTGCTGTTTCCATCTCTGGAAGGAATTTATCCACGCCACTCCTGTGTTTTGACACGATTCTTCTGGATATGTTTCCTAGTGATGATGATGCATATCTCTAACTCATGCAAAAACACAATAGGCTGGGAAGGGATCTGTCAACCCTCTATTCAAGTTTAGAATAGGGATTTTAGTCAATCTTTACCTATGTGAGATACAAATCTTTCCATTCCTGATTAGAACACAATATAACTTTGGCTGAAACTTCACAATCACCATTTTAATTACATCACACAAGTTAATGGCACGAAACATGAGGGGTGTTGTAAATGACATGTCACCAGGCGCTTCATTCCAAACAAATATATCTGGACCTCCTTCTAAATAAAATCATGTTCTTACAAGCTGGGACAAAACTCTTTCTGTCTGTTCACCAGCAAGTCAACAAGGAGTTCCTGGGATTGTACCATCAGGTTTCAAAAGCTCTTATGTCTCAAATTGTCTGAAAGAATACAAATAAAATGGTCAGAAGCATATTCTCTTCTTGGCTGACAGTGCTCAGCAGAATTTTAGCAGAACCTCTTACCTGAAATTGGTGAAAAAGCCTGTGCGGCCCACTGTAAAAAAACTGGTTGAAAACTGGTTGTATTCTACTTTTTGTCCATTTTTCTCTTTCTTTTACAATCCCAGAGAACTCTCCCGATTGTATTGTCAAAATCTGACTTGGTAGCAAACCCTCAAAATGTGGAAGTGTGGTTTATCTTGATAGTATTTTTTTTTAAAGAATGTAAAATAATTACATCAATGAATTAACTTATACTAGCCTGGTGTAAAATTTAGAAAATAGAACCTAGAATAAGAATTGTTGTCTTATATTCTTGTATGGACTGCACTGGTAGAGGCTAAATCAATTTTGTTGTATACATGATGTACAATGACAATAAAGGCGCTGAACCTTTTTTCAAAAGTAGGGAATGATGGCTACCTGTCCAGAAGATTCAGAACACCAAACAGAATGCAAAGTACCTGGATTCAAGCCAGGATTCATTATGCACAAATGTTTCCACTTCAAACACTCTTGGGCAAGGGAAGAGATCCCTTTAGGTGTTATCCATCAACAAGCAACATAGCTCAATTTTGGAATGGAGCTGGAAGGGACCTTGGAGGTCTGCTAATCCAGGGGTCGCCAAACTTTTGGACCTTAGGGACCACCAAACTCATAATTTTAAATCCCGCGGACCAGAGACCCTGGGAAAATCCCCCAAAAAGTCTGCAGGAAAATTCCCCACCCCGTCGTTTTCCTACCGATCGATCATTCTTTATTTGGGATCGCAGGATACCGTCTCTAGCTCCATTCTCGGGGAGAGAGAGAGAGAGAGAGAGACACTTTTGGCTTCATGCAAGGAAAACAGCAGAAGCAGCAGAAGTTTTTCTCTCTCTCCCCCAAACTCCGCCAGAATGGCACAGCCTCTTGGGACAGGATGCCTTGCAGGGTCCCAAATACTCATTTCTAGCGGAGTTTGGGGGAGAGAAAGAAAGACTTACTGCTTTCTTTGTGTGCAGCCAAAAGCAGAAGAAGCGGAAAGAAGCAGCCCGGTGGCCAGGCGAGGCATGTTGGGCAAGTGGGGCAAGTTCCCCTCTCCACCCTTTCCCCGCTCCCCTCACTACCTCGTGTTGTTCGCAATGCAAGCAACGTAAGCCTTGGGTTCCCGTGGTCCATGTGGGCGGCACAGCCTTGTGTTCCTGCGTAGCCTGGGGAGACATTTCTCTGCGGATCACCAAAATTTTCTCGCGGACTACCAGTGATCCCTGGCCCACTGGTTGGCGACCACTGTTCTAGTCCAGGGGTCTCTAACCTTGGCAACTTTAAGCCTGGCGGACTTCAACTCCCAGAAGCAAAGCTGGCTGGGGAATTCTGGGAGTTGAAGTCCACCAGGCTTAAAGGGTTGGAGACTCCTGTTCTAGTCCAACCCCCTGCTAAAGCAGGGGACCCTGTACCATTTCAGGCAAGTAGCTGTACAGCCTCTTCTTTAAAGACCTCCAGATTTTGCAGGCTCTTCTTCTGTTTCTGCCTGCCAGTAAATCTTGTGCACCAATAGATTATATCTGCTTCTTTAGCCTGTCTCTCATTCCCCCACCCCCATGGATCCTTGACAGTTGTCTCTGGAAACATATGCACTCAATCACAGTAAGATTCATGCATCAGGAGACAGCAAAATTTTTAAGATGAGATTTTAACTGATGATAAAAAATGAAACAAGAGGCGGTTTATATTTTGTGCCACATCAAAATATGTGCTGACCATGGTTTAATTAAACTACAAATGGCAAGTCATGCTAAGTTTTACACTATGGTTTGTAAGCTATCCTGATGGAATTGATAAATCATACAAGCTACGAAGCAGAAAACCCGACTGTGGGTGACACTTGTAATTATGGTTTGTCCTCTCCAAAAATTTATCTCCTGAGGTTGTTGCAAAGATAAAATCAAGAGTGAGATGAAGAAATATTGTTCTTCGCAGCAGAACATAAATGTGCTAAAGGCAAAAATGTAACCGCAACTGTTTTCAAGGTTATTCAATACATCTTTGGTCCAAAACTAACTTTCACCATGTTTTATTAAGGCTTTATTATCTGATGCATCCTGTAATGGAGGCTGTATGTAGTCCTCGACTTACAACCACAATTGAGCCCCAAATTGTTATCGCTAAGTGAAACATTTCAGCGAATTTTGCCCCATTTTACAGCCTTCCCTGCCACAGTTGTTAAGTGAATCACGGCGATTGTTAAATTAGTAGCCCAGTTGTTAAGTGAATCTGGCTTCCCCGTTGACTTTGCTTGTCCGAAGGTTGCCAAAAGGGATCACATGGTCCCCAGACACTGCAACCGTCGTAAGTATGAGTCCATTGCCAAGCATCTGAATTTTGATCATGCCACCCTGGGGATGTTAAGTGTGAAAAACAGTCATAATAAAATCCCTTTTTTAGTGCCCTGGTAACTTTGAATGGTCCCTGAATGAACTGTAGCAAGTTGCGGCCATATTGGAGGGCACAACCTGCTAACCCATAAACCACCATAAGCCAAGGGGCCTGCATGCCCCCCCCCTCCAGCCCCAAACAGACCCTAGTTTCCACCACACAAGCCAGGATGTGCCATCCCTGCAGTGACCAGGCCAACCGGGCTTCCACCAGCCCTCGGCAAGCTCTAAGTCGGGGCTGCAGAACCTTCAGGCTGCCGCGTTAACGGACAATGCCGGAGACCGTCGGTTAAAGGCCCAACGCCGCCTCAGGGTTCCGCGGCTGGGCAAGCTCGGCAACGGCCGGGGCGGACTGGCCAGCGCGCTCTGCGGGCACAGTAGCCTGGCTGCCGGCCCGGGCGGGGGACACAGGCGCGGCCTCCCTCCCTCCCTCCCGCTCAGCCTCGCTCCATCCCGAGGCGGCAGCGAAGGCGGGCGGAGGGTGGACGTGGGGGTGGGCGGAGAGGAGGAGACGGGGAAGCCGCGGCGCAGGCGCTGTGCGCGGCTCTATTGTCTGGGCTCCGGGCGCCCTCGGGAAGCCCGGCTGGGGACGACGACGCGCCAGCAGCACCAGCCGCGGAGCCTGCCAGGCGGCCCCCGACCGACGCCCGAGCCTCCTCCTCCTCCTCCCCCCGCGGCCGCTCGGCTTGGCCCGGAGGCCGCCGCCGCCTCCCCCGCCGCCTCCTGCCCGGCGCTCGCATGCGGAGCGGCGCCCGGGGAGCCGCGCTCTTCCTCCTCCTCCTCCTCCTCCTCCTTCCGTAGGGCGGGACCCCCGGCTGCCCCCCGCCGTGGATGAGCCCGGGAGGCGCGGCGGGCCGCCCGTTGGGGCGCGGCGGCGGCGGCGGCGCCTGCTGCTGCTCGGAGAGGCGGAGGAGAAGAAGGGGAGCGGGGCCGCTGCCGTTGCTGGCCGCCGCACGATGCCCGGCGCCGCCGGAGGTGGCCTGAGCGCCTAGTGGCCCCGGCGCCCTCGCTTCCTCGCGGGCTGGCATGGGCGGCAAGCAGAGCACGGCGGGCGCCACGGCCGCGGGGCGCTCGCGCGGAGGAGGAGGCGGCGGAGGCGGAGGCCCCTTGGCCGGCGTGGCCAGCGACGACAGTGCGGTGGGGGCGCCGCCGCCGCCGCCCGGGGGAGCCCCGCACTTCGGGCATTACCGCGGCGGGGGCGGCAACGGGGGAAGCGGCGGCGGCGGGAGCTCGGCGATGGGGCTGCGCAGCCGCTCCGTCAGCTCCGTGGCCGGCGTGGGCGTGGGGATGGGCGGCGTGGAGCCGGCCGGCGCTGGCAGCGTCCCTTTCGGCCTGTACGCGGCGGCGGCCTCGGCGGCTAGCAGTGCCACCACCGCCGCTTCGACGGCAACGGCGGCGGCGGCTTCGGGCGACTCGGAGCGGGGTCCAGGCGCGGACTCCACCCCTTACGGCCATGGCAACGGTTACCAGGAGACGGGAGGTGGTCACCACAGAGACGGGATGCTGTACCTGGGCTCCAGGGCCTCGCTGGCCGATGCACTACCTCTGCACCTCGGACCCCGGTGGTTCAGTTCACACAGCGGTGAGTGAATGGCCGGGACTTGGGGGCGCTCTGGGGAGCCTAAAAGTCCAGCCAGGGTTCTGGGTTCGGGTCAGGAGCCAAAGGCCAGGCGGGTGGGGAAGAAACAGCCTTTGACCTCGCAGGAGGCCGGGTAAAATTGCTGGTCAAGGTGTGTAGTGTGGGGGTTAAAAGGCCCTAGTAGCTTCCTTCACACGTGCCAAGGTCGTCCCTGTTCATCTGGGACAGGCTTCTGGGTGCCCACGATGAAGAAAGTTGGGTGAAACCAACCTTTTTCAGTCTTCAGGACATTGTGCATGTCCAGAAAATGGGCAAATACAGTAACCAATTACAGTTTATGAAGCCAACAATTGTGTGTTGTAAAAGGTCCTTCTGGTATTCAGAGACAAAAACCATGGGCTAGGAACCAGTTTCTTCATTGTCTTCTCATTCTGGGAACCAGTTTCTTCATTGGTCTTCTCTTTCCTACTTAGCAAGTGAGGAAGAAAGCATCCTGAGCTCTGGATTTGGACTAAGCCGGACACAACTTTGTTCTTCATAAATGGCTGGGTAGCGTTTTTGCCTTGTTTATTTCCCTGGTGCATGAAACCAGGGGTCTTGTGCAACTCTTCAGAAAATATTGTGCTCTTGAAGCGACATTCTGGCTAGGTTTGAACCAGAGGCTAGGCTAAAATGTGGCAGTGGCATGATATGTTGTGTGTATCTGGATATGTATGATATGTGAATGTAGGCAATTGGAGTAAACTTCATCTAAAATATTAGCCAAATAGCTCCCTACTCTTCCCAGCTGGGGAAAGAGTAACCAGGGAGTAGAAATAGAAGGTGTGCAAAAACCTTGCCAACTGCTTGTAAATACCTGGAATAGTTTGATTAGTTAGTTCATGGCCTGAAGCCTCCCAGGACGTACTTTCTTTGCTTAATTTTGCTTTAGTTGTTGATTTTAGATCAAGGGCAGGCAATTAATTCTGATGGCCACATCAGAAACTGGGACTGTTGTGGAATGCCAAACCAATAAGGCTGTGAAGGTAGGTAGGCATGCACACACATAGGTAAATTGAAAAAAAAATTACCTTCAAAATAACATCAATCCATGTGAGCCGGACAGCCAAATGTCTGGATGTGGTCAGGGGCTATAAAATGCCGAGGTCTGGCTTAGATGCATCTAAAAGCATCACTATATGGCTCTCCTACGACCCTGGTTCTTTTCTTTTTCCCATTAGTACGGGGCTGAGAAACCAGATCCATTCTCAAGATTTCTGCATTGTAGTTCCCTGTATTCCTACCATTAGCCAAAACCACAATAGAACAGCTTTCGAAGGCACTACATCCTCACTTTTGCTGTTATTAAAACCAGAAAGATTACACAAAAGTATCTTTCCCATTACTTTGTAAGTTGGGGTTGAATAAAAACATTGTCATTCTCTCTGATTTGGTCTCCTTCTGGACAGGTGAATTTCTACTCTCAGAATTCTCATTTGTGGTCCTACAATGGAATTATGGGAGTTGAAGTTCAGATATCTTACAATTGCCACACGATTGAGAAGGACTGGATTGAGCTGGTTTAAGAATGTAGAATTAGGTAAGATTGGCTCTCCTAGATCCCATGGAAAACATTATGAGTTTTAGGGAGTATGGTTTTTTTTCTGGTGAGAGAATGAAAAAAGTTAAGACTGCGGAACATCACATTGGCTTACGGGAAGTAGTATACTCGTTTCTGAGAAGAAGAAAAATGAAGGGGATTTCCCCAGCAAACTCATTAGGAGGAAGTTAACAGAAAAATTATTTCAGGCAGAGAATGGGATAAGATTTTTAGCTTATGCCTCTGGCAGTCAGTTTCTGCAATTGACTGGGGATGCCCCCAAGAGCATGCCTGGAAATGCTGCCAAGAATCTCCATTGGTTGGGTTGCAGGGGGAAAATATACTCAAATTAAACAGTATCTCCAAGCAAAGCAATTTATAACTTAGTTTTGGCAGGAGTTAAAAGAAATAATGCTCTTTTTGCCGGCCAATTGTGCTTCCTTTATCTGTTCAATAGTTGCTTAATTGATTTAACTTTTCAATTACACTGGATTATATCAGCAAATCTGAGATACTGCATCTTATTTTCCCTCAAACTTATTTCCTGCTCTGTTCAGTTCAAGTACGAAGGTTGTGTTTTACTTTCAGTTCTGTATCTTACAATAATTGCATTGGCTGCCCCAAGTTAGCGATGTAAAATTGCTCTGCTGTTGAATTGTTTGTTTCTCCCTCGAGCCGCTCGGAGCATCCAGAGACTGGGATGTGCTTCTGAGTCCTCTTCTTGCAGGCTGAGCTTTAGATGAGGAAACGCTCCGCCCCCTCACGTGGTATCGCGCAGCGTCTCCCCAGTCTTTTGCTCAGCCTCGAAGAGTCAGGCTGTGTTTCAGAGAGCTCCTTGGCTGATCGCACATTTCTTTACTATTACAACCCTCTCGTCTTGATAAGGTTTGCTTTTCCTTCCTCCTCCTGCGCAAAGGGTCTGGACTTAAGGGAAAATTGTTCCCCGTCCTTGGGGCAAGGCTGCGGGCTCGCAGCGCGATAGCGCGACCCCCCCCCACCCTTATCTGATCGCTTCGCTGCCTCCGCGTTGCCTCGTGGCACGCGTTTTTCTTTTACTGCTGGATTCCCCCCCACCTTAAACACCGATCGGGAGGGTCATCGCCCCTAGGGCCCTAGGCGCTGTGCTGACCAGCGAAGCCCTCCCTTCCGTCCCGAAGGCGTCCCGACGGTTCAGCTTGCGGCCGCCATTTTGGCTCCGCATCGTGGTCGGGCGCCATTTTGAATTTCTTTAGCTGCGGCGAATTGGAGCCCCAGGCCTTGGGTCAAAGCTTAGCTGCCCATTTCTTCCACCTGGCTGGCCCTTGTATTACTTGTTGGCCTCCCGCAGCCCGTTTTTCGGGGCGAAGTTGCAGCCCCCCCCCTCCGGTTTTATTTTTCTTGTCTGGAGGCCTGCTGCCAGAGGCTCTTCTTCTACCATAGGCCTCAGGTGTTTATTTGACTAATTGGCCTGTACTGAGATATACGAAGTTCTCACTGTTACGGTTACTGTTTAAAAAAAAAAATCTATCTATATATATATATACTTAATACATATACAAAAGGAATATATTAAAAAAAAAAAAAATAAATAAATATAATTATAATAATAATAACTTTTGTCTTGTACAATAATATTTTTTCGTACATATATAAATATATACGGATAACCTGTATATACTTTTGGTACAAAAGCATAATAAAGATAAAAATCAATCAGAAGGATAAGGAAGAATTATAATTAGAGTATCTATTTTTCTGTACATACTATATTTCTTAGATACCTTACTGTTATCTCTGTACACAACAAATTCCAAAAGGGGGAGAGGGCCAGCTTCACCTTCACCCGGCCTCATCCAGGCCTGATCTGGGCGAGCCAACCGCCTTTGCTAGTAATTGTATCTAACATGGCAGACGACAATCCCTCTAAACGTCCTTCTTTGAAGGCTAAGGCAAAGTCCCACTACTTGCGCAGGCAGGACAAGGAACCTAAGGGCTCTAGACAGGACAAGGAACCTTCCAAGGCCGCCCAACGTGACGCCTTAAGGCGCCACAAAGCGTTGGAAAAAGAGTTTGACCGGCGTTCAAGGGAGTCCCGCTCGGAGCCGTCAATACCTCCTCCTCCAAACCCTTCTACCTCTGCTCAATCTCTCCCCTCAGACCCCTCTTCCCTACCTAGGCGCAGTTCGCTTCAGGGTCTTCCGACCCCCGGACCTCCGACCAGACGGACCCCCGAAGCCACCTTTACTCCCACAGCCGCTGGTCTGCGCCACGATGAACCCTCTACCTCCGAGGTTCCACCTCACATCAGGGCTTGGATGGAATCAGCCATCCGCCAGGGCATAGCAGAGGGACTACAACACATGACAAGATCAGGCTTCTCTCCACGAGCCTCCGAGCACGACTCGATATCTATCAGATCCCTTCCACAACCGGTCCCCCCAGTTGATCAGGTACTCTCTCAGAGGGACAGCCCTCCTCCGATTGGGGCCCAGGTGGAGGAGGAAGGGGACTTTGGGGATTTCAGGGAAGAGGAAGAGGATTCCCGGATGGGATCCTCCCGCTACAGTGAACCCCTCTTAGAGGCTGACATCATGGAAGGGGAGATGTCGGAGGACGAGGACCCTTCTCCCGACCAACCCTCCTTTGGGGGGCTGTTTAAACCGCATATGTTCAAGTCCCTCCTCCTTAAGGCCAAGAATGTCTCTGGCCTTCTTTCCCAGCCCGCTGCAGAAACCCCCCCTGTCCCAGAGGGCCCGGAAGACTCCATTTTCACCCAACCAGTGGTGGAAGCTGAGGTCATCCCTTCCCCTCCCATCTTCGTTGATCTGGTAGCGAAGCAACTTACCTCCTCAGGGACCCCTCCCACTCCCTCTAGCCAAGACAAGAGATTCTTTAATCTCGATTCGGCTCTGTCTAACCTCCTGAATATCCCGGAGGTCGATGACCCCATTGTGGGTCTAGCCTCCTCCTCTACCCCTAGTGAGGCCCTAGAGGCCTTGAAACCTGAGGACAGGCGGGCGGAGCAGGCGCTACGCAGGGCTCACCTATCTGACGCCTGGGCCATTAAGTCAGCTACGGCCGCCTCATTTTTCACGAGGTCCTCTATCCGCTGGCTACGTCAGCTCAAGGACCACATCCCTGCTTCCAATCTCAGAGCTCACCAGGATATAGCGAAGTTAGTGGCTGCAGCCGAGTTCTCGGCTGACGCCACTTACCAGTCGGTAAAATTTTCTTCCAGGGCCATCACGTCGCATGTCACGGCTAGACGCATGCTATGGCTCAAACACTGGCAGGCGGACGTAAAGAATAAGGTCAAGCTGGCCACTGCCCCCATTACGGGAGATAAACTGTTTGGCCCAGCTTTGGAACCACTGCTGGTCGAGGGCCGCAGTAAGAGAAAGTATTTGCCCTCCCTTTTTCGAAGGTCGGAGGCCAGGGGCTCTCA